TTTAATTGTGATAGGTTTGATAATCTGCTCAATAGAGGCATAGGGTGCATAACCTCTATGGAATCACATAACTAAGAAAAAGAAATAAAAATATGACAAATTTTATTCTTTAATCATAAACCATCAAGCAAGTCAAATGAATTAAGCAAAATATCTTGCAAGAGTAAAAGACAAAAAAGATTGGTCTATCATTATTAAAACTAAAGTACTATTAAACATAATAATATTATACAAGTTATTCATCAAGAAGAATAAATGTTAGCATTTAGGTAACTTGCCACAAATATTAACTCACTAGTTAGCTTGAATGATAGAAATATTCAATGGAAAGAAGTGGCTAGCTTCATTGAGGAAAGTAGTGATAATAAAATGATAAATAAAGACTAAATTCAAATGATATTGACTTGAATGTTGACCTTGAATGATAAGTATGTATTTTATTTTATTGTTATTTATAAATTTTAGTGTATAAAGTTATAATATGAACTGTCTCGTTAATTTTTGTAAATGCAGATCACATCTAATAATGAACCTCATCCTAGATCCATCATATCCATGTTTGGTGGACAAAAGAAGTTAACTTCAAGGAACATTGGGTTTGGTCGTGGTAAGAGGATATCATCATCACTCCCTACAAGCACCATCTAGAGTACACAAACTACTCAAATCACCATATATCATATTCTAACTTTTAATTCATCTGACCCTGCACAAACCACCCCATTTTATCCATATCTATCTACACCACCATCTCAGGCTAACCCATCCACATACTACTATCCCACAAATCATAGCATATTTATCATCCTTCATGACCATCATAGACACTTACTAGGCCTTCTACATCTACAGAATAGAGATGTGAGGGTATTTTAGAAGGTTTAAGTGGTTTGATGTATATCAAGCATGTAGATGACACATATGTATTCATATCATAGTATTTATTTTACTATGGCTAAAATATTTTAATAATGTGAACTAATATTTTTTTATAGGTTTGCTAACCCTAAATAGACTAAACATAAAATGAGAGATATCACAAAGAGCATGTTTGATGCTCTTTATATTTCATGGAAAAGAAATATCTGCATATGTTGACATATGATTTCATGAGTTTGAGGCAAAGGTATCGTATATTTTTCAATAAGTTAATTAATTAATTATTAATGTTATAATCATTATATATTTTAAAACCCTATAAAATATTTTCATTGACTTTCTCAACAATTAAATATAATTAGATTTTTTTTTAGAAATGTGGTTTGACTTGCATGCATGACATGTTCACTGATATTCAAGAGTTAGGCGAGTGACTATTATGGATTAAGGAAAGCATAATAGAAAATTTATGAAGAATTTGGGGAAACCCCGATTACATAAAAAAGACAACAAAATAAATGAAAGCGCACTTCTGACTATGGGGCTATGGGGTAACTCCCTCCATATGGGCAATTCGGATCCTCTTATTGAGCTAGATGAAAATTGGTAAAGTTTATTTTCTTAATTTGTCTTATGCTTTCAAATCCATTGTAATAACTTTTTATTTACATTTGTAGAAAGAAGTACTTTGAAAATAACCTATTACTCTAAAGGTCATATACATACACATCAACGATAGGAAGATCAACAATTAGTTGACCTCAAATCTCAAAAATCTTATGTAAGCAAAAAAGAATATTTTTTTGAATATTATATAGTACTTATGAACTATATTCTATAAATTTTAAGAGGATTAAATATAGCTTTGAGATGCACACAATCAAACTTTTGTAGTTGACGGATCTTCTATGAGGAATGCATAATGGGAGGATTTATGGCTTAGGGTCAAAACGCTTATGCATTTGATGCTCAATCCTCCACCATAGTAGCCTCTGTAAGCATCAATGACAAATTGCTGAAAAGATGGGTTGTATTGATGAAAGAAATGTATGCCCTCATTATAGACAATACAAGTTGGGATGCAAGTACAAATGTAAGCCCAAATGCAATCTAAATTACAATGATTTTGAGAGTAATAATAGCATCATCAATAGGAGCAAGTGGCTAAGCAAAGACAGGATACAAATTATTATTATTTATTTGCTTGTATATGCATAGAATATTAAGAACATTCAAACAATCAATATTACTTTTAAAATGCACTTGTCTTATATATAAATTTTACATCGTTGATAGAATTATAAAGATCTTCGTCGTATAGTTTTTCTATTATGTATAAAGAAATTCTTTGTTCTAGCATTTCCGAAAAAGTCGATAAACTGGGCGGATATGTAAAGGATATTATTTGTTTCCCATCACTTGTACATGTAAAAAAAAAAAATTGTGACATTTCATTGCGTAAAGCATTTTCTAATTTCTTATTTTTTATATATCGTAATGGACGATTCATCGCTTAAAATCGAAAAGAAAAGTGACAAAAGTTTTTTCAACCCACATATTCATTCTTTTCTTTTTCTCTTCATAGTAAAAATTACTTTTTTGGGATGCAATGTATGTATATATTTGTGAATTAAATGTAATGATGTATTTGTTTGTTGAATAACTACGTAGGAATGATGATTTTTTTTTCTTTTTTTGCTATAGGTTTTCATTTTATTTACATTTTTTTTTTTTGTCGGAAAGCATAACATAAGAAGTTTTGATGCAAAACTGATGAAATTTTTTTCTGGAATATTATTGTTCAAATATTGAAAAATTTTGATTGCCATAATCTTTAGTAGTTTTCTAGCAGTATAATTCCTTGGAAATTCTAGCAGCCACAATTGCTGGAATTTCACTAGAGATGCCAATGGTGGATTTTAGCAAGTAATTTGCCAAAAATAATCTTTCTTTGTAAGATTACATTGTGTTGGTATTTCCTTTGAACATTCCATCAAATTTCACAAAAGAATGAAAAACATCTTGGCATAAAAAATTTTTCCTATGTGATTATGAGAAATGAATATTTATCATTGGAAACTCGTCACAAACTATAATTTTTTTTATGAAAATTTATTCTTTATAGACAAAAAATGTCAAAAATGTTTATTTTCATATAGGGATTATCATACCTACCACTATCAACATACCTACCACCACTATTAATAACATAAACAACCTTCATGGGCCATGACATTGATTATGATCAAATTCAACATCATGCCAAAGTAGCTAAGAAATACCTATTACATGTGGGACTATAATATAATATTATCATGATAAAAAGGCCTAAAATTTAAATATTTAAAATATAGTGATACTTAAAGATACATACTAAACTTAGGTTTACAATAATGATTAGGGGTGTCAATATTTGACTTGACCCGAAAACCCAATTTGAACCCGACCCAAAAAATTTTTGGATAGGGTCAACCTGGAAATCGAAATGGGTTGGGTTTGGGTTCAACAATTTGGGTTAGGGTCAACTTGGAAACTGAAATAGGTTAGGTTCAGGTTCAACAATTTGATCCAAAATTGATCAGAAAACCCATTTTTGACTTGGAAACCCGAGATTGACCCATTTTCGACACATTTTGACCTGAAAATCATAGATTGGCCCATTTTTTACCCAAAAACTATCTTTTTTTTGTTGGCCTTGGGTCATTCAGGTCGTGTCGAGTTGAACCGGACCAAAAGTGAGTTGGGTTCAAGTCCGAAAAATTGACCCATTTGTAAAAATAGGTTGGGTTCGAGTTGACCCGAATAGTGCCAGGTCACTTTCAAGTTCGACCCTAACCCAAACCGTGACTCAATATTGACACCCCTAATAATGATAATGATGACCTACATCACTTGGTCTTTAGAAAATAAGAGATATTAAATAAATAATAGATAGATCGGATACCACTATGCCACATCCCAAGTTCAAAAGATGGTACACCCCAACAAATAAGACATGATCAAAAGGGTTGACCTCAATTCTTAAAAAAAAAATTCAGAGCCAAGAGCAATTAAAACCTATTTTATAATCATTAGAACAAGTTTATGTACAAGTAATTATAAATAGTAAGAGTAAAAAAAGAAAAATAAATGATATATTTTTACATCAATATAGTCCATAATAACATTGAAAAGTCTCATTAGGAAAGATATGCAAATTGTACTCATAAATCCAAAATAGTTTTATGAAATATTTTATCAAATAAAAAAAATATTATTTTTATTTCAATAGAATAATTATTGTAATTAGAGTAAATACTTGTAGTTTGTTGCAAGTTAAGTATACTTCCTCGTGGGTTTGACACTCTACGCTATTACTTTATTAATTGATTCATCATGTATACTTGTGTATATTAAGTGAGGTTTATTATTATTTATATTAAAGAAAATCTAAGCATTATTTAGACATAATAGAGCCCTAGATTTTTGTACAATTCAAAAGTTCACTATAGTCCCCATCGAAGTTTTTGGTACTGCTGTTGGGGAAGTATTTTGCGTTTTACAAATTTAACTATAGTGTTGAATTAAATACATAATTAGACCTACTTGTATATTTTATTTTATTTTATTTTTTGATTGCATATTCATGATTGTATACTTTATAGACAAAGAAAGAAACTTTTATTATTTTATGCTAAAATAGAAAGAACCCTTTCAAAAATTCAAAAAATTTAAAATTGGTGAGGATGGATGAACCTTTATTAGATCAAAATCAATCTAGACCTTTTAAGGATTATGCTAACCTTTTGCTAGATGAAATTCATCAGAGCATTAATAGACCTATGATCCAAGCTAATAATTTTGAATTTAAACCTGCCATAATTCAAATGGTTCGAATTTCTCAAATTGGATGAATTCCCGTTGTAGATCCCAATTTACATTTGGTCAGTCTTTTAAAAATTTATGTAATATTTAAGTATAATGGTGTCAGTGATGATGCTATTACACTTAGTTTGTACCCATTTTCTTTTAGTGATAATTCTAATATGTGGTTGAATTCCTTACCCCCAAGCTCTATAACTACTTGGAATGAGTTGGCTCATAAGTTTCTTACTAAGTTTTTCGCACCTTCAAAGATTGCTAAACTTAGAAATGATATCACTTATTTTACCCAGTTGGAAGGAGAATCGATTTAGAAGAGTTAAGAGAGATTTAAGAAAATATTTTGGAATTGACCACACCATGTTTTACCTAATTGATTGGTTATTCAAACCTTTTACAATGGATTAGTAGGATCTATTAGAACAATATTAAATGATGTAGTTGAAGGATCTTTAATGACTAAATTATTTAAGTAAGCATATGAATTAATAGAGGAAATGGTACAAATAATTTTCAGTGGCATATTGATATGCTAAATCCTAAAAAAATAGTAGGAATATATAAATTTGATGCTTTATCAATTTTGATTACACAAGTTATAGTAATTTCTAAGAAATTAAGCACATAATGAGAATTTAGTTCCTTGCACGGGAGTTTAAGAAATTAGGCACAATAGGACAAAATGCAGAATTTGGAATTCAATTATCTATACAATTGGAGGACCAAAAGCAAATTAACAAAAATAATGTGTAAGGAATTGAAAATATTAATTTGATTGAAAGACAAAATAATCCCCACTCCAATACATATAATCTAATTGGAGGAACCATCCAAATTTTAAGTGGTCAAATAATGTTTCAGGGAATAATCAATAAAATTCTAGTCAAAGTAATCAAAGAATAAATTACAATAATCCTCAACCAACTATTAGTCCTAGACTTGCATATCCTGTATGTTTTAATCAAAGCAATCAGTTTAAAAGTAAAAAATCACCATTCGAAGATTTAGTGATGTAGTTAGGAACTCAATTACAAAATCAAGTTGCTTCTATTAAAAATTTGGAATCCCAATTAAGACAACTTGCAATTTAAATCAGTAGTTAACCTCTTGGATCATTACTAAGCATTTTAATATCTGGATGGACTAGTCCTTTTACTGTCATTAGAATATATCCTAATGGTGCCATAAGTATTTAGGATAAATAAACCTTTTATATCGTCAAGGTTAATGGTCATAGAATGAAATCTTGTGGATAAGAAGAACCAAATAAGAAAAATCTTGTTGATATATTTTTCATTTTTTCCATGAGTTTAATGAAAATGAATTTGCTAGTTATTCATTCTATGTCTGGCTAATTTTCTTATTTTGGATTGATAATGTAAATTGTATGTTAAATTACTAATGATGACTCTTATTTTATAACTGTTAAAAAATGTTTTTCATATCATCCCGCTCTTTATTTAATACACATTATAGTCATATGTGCAGTTAAAATATAATGTGATGTATAACCTTGATGGAGGAGTGCAAGAACAACAAAGAATATTGAGATAGGATATTTGCATGCCTAGACATAGGATGTAAAATATTCTAGGTTCTTAAGGAGATATTATAATTATAAGAGTCTAGTATATATCATTTTCACTCCTCCAAGATCGACAAAGTTCTATGGAAGCATATGTTTTGAATCACATTATCTTGAAGATTCTTATTAGGAAAGAAATGCAATTTATACTCATCAATCCAATTTTTATTAAATATTCTATCAAATACCAAAAATATCAATTTTATTTTAGTAGGATAATTACTATAATTAGAGTAAATAGTAGTAGTTTGTTGTAAGTAAAGCAAACTTCTTCATGGGTTATTCACTACTCTATCACTTTATTACTTGATTCAGCATATATACTTGTGTATATTAAGTAGGGTTTATTATTATTTATATAAAAGAAAATATAAACATTGTTTAAGAGTGATAGAGCCCTAGATTTTTATATAATTTAAAAGTTTATTTCACAGCTCCTATCCAGTATGCATATCTCTTAATAAATAAAAGCTACTTAGCTCAAAGTGAGTGATACAAAACTCTAAATTTAATCAAGATCTACCAGTTCGTTCGCTCGCACCTCATTATCCTTTGAACGCATCGTCAAGCTCTATGCCAGCTTGTCCTGTCTCCGCTCTCGCAGGTACCCAGCTCTTCTTCAGATCATCCTGCTTTCGTTCCAGCAAGTCTTCCGCTGGAAGATTTTCTCGTATGAGAAAATCACATCCCTTGTCATCAAATTGCAGCATATCTAGGTCTAACTTTAAAAACCCTCAATTAAAATATATAACTATTAAAAATAACTAAACGTATGATAACATATTGCCTTATCTTCCCAAACTTAATTTCATAAAGCCTTAAGAAAAAAATTGAAAGTTATTGCTCAAACTTATTCAATAGAAGATATTTCAAAACAACCTAATCTAATAATTTTTACTACGGACTTTGACAAATAAGATTAACCTACTATCATAAATAAATTTATAACCATAGTTAAATCCATCATATTAAAATGCTTAAAAAGGTTTTAAGAATCATAAGAAGAAGATCATAATAACATAATTCTAACCAAAAAAGTTGACAATGAATTATAATAATCTATGAAAAATTAAAAATAATGAATCTTTTCACAACAACTTTAATGGAGAAGAAAAAGTGAGATCTCTACAATAACAAGGAAGAGGAAAGAATAAGAAAAAGAAAGTAATACAATGATGAGAGGAATAACATGAGAAAGAATATTGTTGAGCTCTTAGTAAATGAAGGAGGAATTAGGTGAGGATTTGTTCAAAGGGATTTGTATCTTGAGATAAGGAAAATGGGGAGAGCAAGGTTGACTACAATGTGAAGAAGGGTATGATGCCTTATCCTATTTCAATCTTATATCATAACAAGAGGTGGCCGATTGCATGTGATGCATATGCAAGGTAGGGAGAGAAAAAACATGAGGATAAGAAAGTTCCAGGTTCTTTATGTGACTTAGGGAGAGTTTTATACAAAGGAAAAGCCAGGTCAATATGGTATGGGGTTTCACTAGTTCAATTTTGGGCTAAGCTAGTTCATGTTATTATAATGCCTACATACAATATCGTTTTGAATTACATTTGGGATAGTAAAAAAAAAGTGCTCACACTTTCCCTTTTTTATTTGTCAAAACATATGATGTGTTTCGTCATTCTTAACGACATCATGACACATTGACCTCACCTTTTAAATAATTAGTTGTGCATAGTTAGTAGCGTTTTTTAGTCAGGGTCATAAGACCGATCTCATGGGATTCCTTAACCTCTTATGAGGTTTCAAGTTGTAAGTCTCATCATGGGTGTCTATGCTTGATTTTGGTTAAGGGTCATACTTGAGAGTTATTCCCTATTCTTTTTCTTTTGTGATATTCTTCCACTTTTAGGTATCATTACCCCTCCTTGTCTAAGGGTATTATTAGAAGATGCAACTCATATTTACTAATAAGAATTATCTTAGTTAAAGAATGTTTATTAGCTTTTTTGGCTAGGTAAACTATGGGGTTATGATGACATGGAATCATTAAACCATTTGTTCTTTATCAAGTTCATCTTCCCGTTGATTAAGTTAGTCTTCACTTTTCTCTAAACATGTTTATCCTTTTTTCTCTCTCTTTTTTATTAACAAATAGCTCATTGAGTTACAGTTCCCAGCTATTTTGATAATTAAATTTGTTTGTTATTTCATAATGTATACCCATTATCTTTGACATTCTAATCTTTAGATTTCACTCTTTCGAGCTTCCTTTAATGAGGATTATATTTTTCTTAAATAGTATAAAAACATTAAATTAAGCTTCTTATAATACGAATGAATTTTCATACTTGAAACTTTATGATATTTGGGCTATTATGGTAATTTAAATTTGTTTGATGTTGTAAGATGTATGCCCCATTAGCATTGACATTCTAACCCTTAGTTTCGACTCTTTTGAGTTTCCTTATTCGATGATTATATTTCTCTTAAATATTATAAAAAGAATAAATTAAGCTTCTTACAAGAAGAATGAATTTTCATACTTTTGAGCTTTCATCATATCTCAAAATCATTCTCCACATCGTATCTCAAGCCTTTACTTTCCTTTGGCATTTACATCCTTTTCCATATTATAGATTGTCATAATGAATATGCATAAATGCTCATAAGCTTTGAATTATCTCTCATGTTAAATCCAATAATATTCCTTTCTTGAAGAGAACAACTAATTTTGATATCTTTCTATCAAATTGAACATAAGTGATATTCTTTAATAAAGAGTTTTTAAGAGGTTAACAATATGCAATCAATGTTATATGTAATGTTCATTTGAAAAATCATATTTTGGATTCAAATTTGTCCATGAATGATACCCGACCTTACTAACAGGCAAGTTAAAAAGTCATGAATCTAAGAACATGTGGTGAATATAGAAAGAAAAAAAAGTTTTCAATAAAAGTACTTCACTAGCTCATTAGTGCCTTTAGAAGTACCAAAAGATCTAAAGTATATATCTTCACCTTTTATTTATAGGGGTCCAAGGGCTATACGGAAGGCTACACCAAAAAGATAAAATATATAATAATAAATGAGACTCAATACAAATTGTTCTAGACATGGGTCATGCTCTTATAGTCTTTGGGGATGGTAGATGCTTTTTAATCCATCTCCTTAGCCTCAAGGCAAGTCCCTTGTGCTAAGTGATTATGGGCTAGTGAATGGAGTCGAGTCCTTGAATATTTCGAGCATAAAGATTTTAAGTGATGATAACTACTTTGATGGAGTCCTTGGGATGCTTGGAAATAAGGTTCGAGTGTATTTAAGTTGCAAGGATGGTGGAATCAATGGTCCGTTGAGCATGAGGAGGTGTGTTTGAATCTCCTTAGTATGATCCTTCCATGCAGGTAGGTTGATGGATTTCATTGATGGTTCATTGCTATCGGTGATTATGAGTTACTTTGAGAGTGCACTTCTTGGAGGAGGGATGATCCTCCAAGTCTGGGGAGTCTCACATGAACCTTGGATGTTTCTTTGAGAGTACTCCCATTAGATGGTACTTTTGAGTCTAGAATAATTATGCTTTGGTGAATCTTCGTTGTCAAGATCCATGGGATTTAAGCTCTTTCTTTGTGGCAAAATTATTCTGTGTGGATTTCAAATCGTTCGGAGGTGAATCATAGCTAGGGGTGCAAATGAGTCGAGTCGAGCTCGAGCTAGGAGGTGTTCAAGTCGAGCTCGACTGCCAGAGCCCAAGCTCAAGCTCGAGCTCAAACTTGAGTCGAGCTCAAAAAATGAGCTCGAGCTCGACTCCTTTCATGTCGAGCGGCTCGTCGAGCTCAGTCCCAAGCAATCTAGCAGTCGCGAGTCACGACCTCCATCGTCTCGAGCAGAGTCGTTTCGAACAAAGTCGTCAACAACAAGTGAGCTCCCGTATTGCTTCCGATCGAAATGCCTTAACTTCCCGAGCAGTCTAGCATGCCAAAGGAAGAAAGTTTGCTCCACTCAAGAAGGCTTTCACCCACCAAACCTTCTTCGTCGCTCGTCGATAGTCGACTAAACCGGTCGGATGCCAATGGTTTCCTCAGGAGGGGCCAAATAGAGAAGCACTGATTTCGGATGAATCTAGGGTTTCTAAGGTTATTAGAAGATTGGATAAGGATTTGAAGTGAAGAAGAGGCCTATAGTGAGAGGAGGGGAGACGGATGGAGTATCCGCTGGCGGGGAAAGAAAAATCCATTAGCGAGCGAGATTACTGGGAATATCGAAGCTCTAAATTCTAATCTACCATTTCCATAGGGGCAAGATCAGTGTTTTGCGAGGAGTGAGTGAGGTAGAGCACTGCGAGGCTGGAGAGCTATTTAGCTCAGTCAATTTTGTAGCGGTGGAGTTTTCTGCTTTCGATCCAAGTGTCATAACTTCCGATCTAACTTGAAGGGAATGTTGTCGAAGGGACAAAGTCGAACAATGACGAAGGATGCCGAGTGGGGAAGAGAAGAGATCGCGAGCGAGTCTTAAGGCTTGCATCCGTTTGTTTGCATGATTCAATTTTCCCGCTGCCCATTTCTTTTTTCGTCTTGCTTGCGATTTCCCGCGATTTCCCACTTGTCATTTCATTCATGAGCTGCTCGACGAGCTCGTGAGTCGAGCAGCGCGTAGTTCGATCTTGAGCTCGATAAACAGTCGAGCTCGAAATTGTGTTCGAGCTCAACTCGCGAGCTCGATAAGCTCGACTCTTCGACCTCGAGCTCGATAAGATCTACTCGTCGAGCTCGAGCCGGCTTAACTCAGTTGCACCCCTAATCACAGCATGTCACGTCACCTGGTACATAGCAGTACTGAGCACCTATACCCAACAAACGGGTGACATGACGTGTTGTGATTCGTTTCTGGACGACATCCGAAATTCGCACAGAATAATTAATCTTCTTTCTGACATGTTAAATACTTATAAAATATTTGAGAAGGCATGTACGCGCTACAACAAAACCCTCATAAACCTTGACGACTTTGGTTTGATAAAAAAAAAAATTATCAAGAATAAAATCTACGGGATTCAATCATGTGATTGGCTTATTATTAGTATCCTAGATTCTTAGAGTAAATCGATCTTGATCAGTTCTCTATGATAATTTATTAATGTCATTTAAAATAATCCTTCCCATAATTTTTAATCCCATTAAAAAATTTACTTTCAATATGAATATTTGTCAAAATAAAAATATAATAAAAATATTATTATATTTGTCTAATTAAAAAATATAATTAAAAATGAGTCCAAATTAATGCCTTACGACGTATAGGAGAAACTCAATATTTCAAAATTTTCTCTATTTAAAGATAATAAAATGCTAAAGCGTGTATCCGCGGCCTTACAATCCTAATGCAAATACTTTCTCTCTATAAATTCTCGGGCAGCGAAGAAATTAGCAGAGACTAGCGGAAACCGAGACAAAGAGAGAAGAATAAGAAGAAACGACAAGAGCTTCCGGCGTTGACTGGCGGCGAAGTCGGAGATTCTGCCTCCTTCCAAAATTTACTCTCCTTGTGAAATCCCTGTGATATTGGAATTTGAAGTATATTAGAGAGAGGGCTTGAACCGGTGAGAGAGAGAGAGAGAGAGAGAGAGAGAGAGAGAGAGAGAGATGAAGTTTTTGGTGGAAGTGGAGAATGGGAGCGAGGGAAAGGGCGACGCGCCTTCCGTTGGACCTGCCTACCGGAGCGTCTATGCGAAGGATGGGTTTCCGCCACCGGTCCCCGGCATGGAGAACTGCTGGGATATTTTCCGGTGAGTTCTTAATGAAATCAAGCTAATTTGAATTGGGTTCTGGGGGTCGGTTGTATTTTTCTTATTAAATTAGTATTGTAATTGTTTGAATGTGTAGAATGGAGAAGTGATTTGCTATAATTTATCTGACTCTTTTAGGGAATGTTTGGGCTACTAGTAGGATTTAGTAAATCCTGAGATTATTACAATCTGAAAGCAGTTTTGTATGATGATTGTCAAATCGAACTAAATTCCTGATAAATTTTTTTGTTATTTGTTTTAGAATTTAAGATTAATGAATAACAGAATTGATTGATGCAAAAAGGGAGGATAAGAGAAATATTAGTATTAAAATAAATTACTCAGAACTTTAGGAGATATTTTATCTTTTTCAATAGCATCTGGTATCGACGGATTTAAAGCAGTGATGGCAGCCGCTATAGATTTGTTGGCCATCATCAGAGATTCAATTGATCCGAGAGCACTTGAGGTGCTCATGGAAGATGAGGATGTATTTTTTATGTGATTAGTTTGCATCCAAAATATTTTTTTTGTTTGCATATTTACTTTACAATTAACCAAACAATCAAAACAATATTATATTTATTTTATTTTATATATTTTAAATACATGCATCCTAAATACGCCTAGCCAAACTGGCCTTAGGTGTATCAGAGTCTTCAGTCACTAATTAAATTCGACAAAAATATATTTCTTAAGAAAAATTTTCTCTGATTCTATTATGAAGGCGATTTGGGTCTCAAACCACTCAAATTGGATTTGACTAAGACGGACCCTGCCTGATCCGACTGAATGTTTAGAATGCAGAAGGACCTGTCGAAGTAAAATCATATTTTGTATCTACAAAGAACCAAATAAGCCTTATTGATTTTGATCCTTGTCATTTAAGGTAGAAAAGAGCCTTGTTTTGATTAATTTCTGAAGTTTTGAGCTAGATGGAAGAATCACTCATTTTGATGGAAGATATGGCTGAGCATCATGTTGGTTCTTGCTGTGGTTTTACGAGTCTATATAAATAAATCCTGATAATTAAATGTTTGATAATGAAAGAAAAGGTTAAATTTCAAAATAGTCTCGTGACTATTTGTATATGATCATTTTAATCTCGGAGTATAACTTTGCTCTCCAATTTAGTTTCTCAACTATACAAAAATGATCCAAAATGATCCCTTTGGGACTAAATTGAGATCAATTTTGTAAAGTTGAGGGACTCAAGTGGGATCAATTTTATATCACAATTACAACATGAGGTATTATTTTGGATCAATTAGTACAGTTGAGGGATTAAATTAGGGTAAAGTGATACTTTGGAACTAAATTGGCCATACACAACTAATCTGGGGATTATTTTGAGATTTTAATATATTAAAAGAACATTGATTTATTGTAACATGTACTATAGAAAAGAACATTCTTTTGATTGGCGTCTAAAGAGTAGAGCTAGATGATAAAATTGCTCGGTGTTTTAAAAGATTTTGATATGGTTAATGATTATTCATGATGTGTTGTAGCATGTCTGTGGAGAGAAATCCCGATAACCGAATGCTTGGGCGTCGGAAGATTGTGAATGGAAAGGTTCGTTCCACTTATCTTCTTGTTTTGGAGCTATTTTAAGTGTCTTTTTTTTTTACTTAAGCTTGTTGCTTGTTTTGGTCTGCTGACTAATGATTTATGGTAAGTAAGGCGATAAGTTTTCTTTGCCTTTCCTTGCAGGCTGGTGAATTTATTTGGTTAACCTATAAACAAGTATATGACCTTGTGCTCAAAGTTGGTGGATCTCTTCGAAGCTGTGGGGTTACCAAGGTGAATTTTTTCTTACTGCACCAGGCTCATCACCTTTTCCTCAGTGAGAATGAGCTAATATTGCCGTTCAGCAACCCTGCAAAAGTTTCTTACAAAATCAGAATATGTACACTTTTAAATGTTTAGCAAAGCAAATAAATGAAGTGTAAAGAATAATATGGGATATGAAGGATTGCACTTGTAGATATGCCAAATATAGCTTGTAATTATAACAATGTTGGAGGACTGGAATGAAATGAAAAGTTGCGATTTCCTTTGTCCTCTGAAAATCAGCATCAAATTTCTGCTATTTTATTGTGAACATGTTTAACCTGATAGGGGTTAGGTTGTTACCTTCTTGTTTCATTTTTTTTTATTTCTATCTCTTTTTAGTCCAAATAGCATTTCTACCATAACCAATTTCTGTGGCCTGAAGAGCATTCTTTCTTCTTGTCACCTGTTTTTCCTGATTTAGTATTCTTAAGGAAATTAATTTGTTGTCTTTTTTACCTTTTTTTTTTTGCAAATTTTGAAGCTCAAAGCTGGATTTAAGATGCCTTTTCTTTCAGGGAGGTCGTTGTGGCATATATGGTGCCAATTGTCCTGAATGGATCATCAGCATGGAGGTATCCTTCTTCCTTTCCATATCTATTTTTGTTCATGCAGCCATTGCTTCTCCTATGTTTTGTTAGGCTTTAAACTTGTTCAAAGTTTATTACTTATTTTCTATTAGTTCCATTTGCTTTTGCCAGCATGTCTAAATTTTGCTTCTTTCACCTTTATGATCAACTTGTGGAAAGTTATTCCGAATTGATGTGATTTTGCCATTTGATAATTTTTCTAATGCTTGATTTATTGACTTCGCAGGCTTGCAATGCTCATGGGATATACTGTGTTCCTTTATATGATACCCTTGGTATGTAGTTTTGTTATCTTGCTAGAATTGCGGTAACATGCAAATTCATCGCATGTGGATTATTATATTCAAAGATGAATTGCTGAAATTATTTTTCTCTCCTAATTCTAGCTGATGGTATGGATCTTTTGATGTTATGTTTAGAGCTCTAACCTTTAGTAGATTGGGATCTATGAAGTATTATTACATACTTTGTTTCCACTTGTATGATTATTTTTTATGATTCACGCTGAATTGAATTCAAATGTTTGTTCTTTTTTTCTTCTTTAGGTGCTGGTGCCGTTGAATTTATTATATGTCATGCGGAGGTTGAGATTGTATTTGTTGAAGAGAAAAAGATTGGGGAGGTCTGATACCAAATAGTTTCTTTGCAAATTGATTAGATATGGCTAATAATTACATAATTTGAGTGAACGTACTATTTTCTTTTCTTTTTTTCGTATTAATATTTGTACATCCTTAGATGTTTGATTTTTGGATATTAATGTATGAAATTTACAAGCTTATGAGGTTATTCATTTTCCCTTGATAAAGGTTCTTCATATGAAAAAGTTGATTTTAATCTAGTAGCTTTTGAAGTCAAAATCAACACAAGCTTGACCATGCCATATTTTATTTATTCATGATTATTCCATTGCCTTTTCCTCTTTTCTTTCTTAGAAAAAACCAATATGAAGACCTGTAAAATTTCTGTCACTTGTTTGTGTTGCGGTTAATGTAAATGCAGCATTTAGAGGGTGTATCAGGTTGGGCTTCCGTACTAATAAAAGTTTCCCTTCATCCTACATTAAATGTTAAAATACTAAGGGTTTTGTATTATGTCTTATGCTAAATTTCCAACTTCATGTTTTCTGCTAAATCTGCACTCTTGTAAGTTATTAGAACTAGGCACATGATATTACATTAGTGTCTCTTTGTAATAAGTATTTGCAAAATATTGCCATTTAACCTTATTAATTCTTTCATCCTAACAACTACAGGTGCTTAAAACGTTTCCTAGTTCGACCAAATATTTGAAAAGTGAGTGGCAACCATTTCTTCCACTTCAAAAGTATATTCCTGAGAATACCGGATGTTATATTTGAATTTCAATCTTGTACAGAAATTGTAAGTTTTGGGAATGTCACTCCTGATCAAAGAGAAGCAGTCGAAAGTTTTGATTTGGCAATACATTCTTGGGATGAATTTTTGACTCTGGTAAGTTGGCTGGTTAATTGTAAAATTTTGTCATCATATATTATTTATTCAAATTCTTGTTCATGTATAAATTTAGGTTCTCAAATAGGATATAATATAGGCGCAGACCCTAAATTTATCAACATGAAATGCAGATTCGTATTATAATTATAATTCATCTAGAGCATCCAATACATCTTCCGAAGCATATTCATGAACTACAGTTTTTTTGGTAAGGTCATATTTAATTATGCATGATTGTGTGTTGATATATGCTTTGCAGGCTTACATGAGATGATAATGATTTTTCCTTAGGGTCATTAGGCACATGTAGTTGTCTTACTAGAATAATATTATTATTTCTCAATGTCCAAGTATTTTTGTAAGGCCTCATATAATGTCTTTTCAGTGCTGTAGCTTAATTCATCCCTAACATCTTGCCTAAAGCCTTTAATTAAATTATTATGACCACTTCATACTATAGAAACCAATAATATTTAGCTATAAGACTTTTAAACCATGTATAATATTTAAAAACACTATAATCACTTTGTTTGCCATCTTTATATTTATCATATAATTGGTCCTTATTTACTGAATGATAGATATGTTTCCTAAAGTTTATGTTTCATGTTTGCCCATTTAAATTTAGTAGTTATGGCTTGCTAAAATAGTTGAACATTTTTCATTAGTGTTGATTTAATTCTTTGGGTATCAGATAAAGTATGATGTTCAAGCAAAATTTTCAAACTATCAATTCAATTTAAAAATTATATAAGATTAAATCTCCCATCAAATGTACGAATATAATTTTAAGCTTCATTACTCACGTTAGGACCATAGCCTACCTGATTTTATTTATATTTGCATATTTTGTTCCTGGTTGATTAACGTTGTTATTTTTCCCCAATTCTAATTAAATATTTTGTCAAATCTTAAGCTTATATATCAATTTAATGTGGGATGTCTATGATTCCTAATGTTATAAAGTGATGCAGTCAAGAAATACCAAAAATACGCAAAGCTATTGGTTAAAAGCTTCCAATTAAACTAATTACTTGTCTAGTTTTTATGCAATAAAAACATACACAAGCAAAATTAACGCAAAATCAATCAGAACTTATGAATATTTTTTTTTTTGGGAAAAACCCCACGGAAGGGGCTTACGCGTTAAAATAGATAAAAAATACACGTCCTTAAAGACTCCAAAGCTCACTAAAATACAATAATTGAAATAAAACCTAAGAGCTTCGGGATCCATCTAAATATAAAACCAAGAAAAAGCAAAAGGAAGACCATCTCAAACAGAAACTAACAATGAAGGAGACAGTAGAAAACACCATTAGCCCAGCAGTCAACCATTACATCCAGAGCAAAAGTGCAATCCAAATCCGAAGACCAACCTGCACAAAACAAAAGGAAAGAAATTATACCAAAAGAAGAGATGAAAACCCCACCAACCATATAAAAGAATACTTCCAAAGCAGTAGTCATCAAACCAAACACAAAAAGCTATTTTTTGAATCAATGTTTAAAATTGTGTATTCGGGTATTGAGGCGTTTTTCATTTGTGAGGCGAGGTGTAAGCCTCGAGGCGTTTTGAGGCGTAAGCGTCAAAATCAAAAGATTGCATAACATAAAATGATAAATTTTTTATATACTAATGAGTAAATAATATAAAACATAAAAAAACATAAGATATTAAGTGAAATCAAAATATCCCAATAACAAGACAACATGAAATATAGTTCAACTCAAAATTCTATCTTTCTCAAATCCCAGTATTCTTTTCATTAACATATAATTCAAATTTCCAAAAATAAATAGCAATGACATATCATATAAGAACTCGTAAGTCATCAACACTTTCATCACTAAGGGGTTCTTCATTTGAATCATCATTATGATGAACTGCTCTCCCCTTCCTCCTCTCCTATAGAGTCCAATGTCGGGCATTTACTTCAAGATTTATATAAGTTTTAATATATATATAGCGTGAGGCGTAAGCCTCATGCCAGTGAGGCAAGGCGGGCCTCAACCAAGTTGAGGTGCAAGCCTCATAAAAAAAATTTGAGGCGTAAGCATCGAGGCGTTTTTTACTGGAATTGCGCAAAGGCGGGCCTCAAGGCGAGCCTCATATTGCGCAATTTTAAACCATGTTTTGGATTTCCTCTTTCTTTGTTTACCCACCCGAACGATAGTATCTCGCATACCTCCATCCTGTTCAAACACTTCCTCTTCATCATCTTCAGAAGGAGAAGATGAAGAGCCTTCAAGCTGGAGAAGATGAAGAGCCTTCAAGCCAATCAATTTGATCCTTAATATTTTTGTAAAACCCCTCCGAAGCTAATTTTTTTTTTAGTGCTGTTAGTCCGGACGAACTGAAGAAAATTGTGAAGAATCTGTCAATTTTGTCTGGACGAATCTGTAAGGGTCTGGACGAACCGTCGGGACGAACCGAACAGAGAGCATCGTCCAGGGATGAAATAAATTGGAATTTATTTTCGTCTGTACGATCCGTGTCCAGAGGAGTTCGTCCCGGGACGATCTGGGCATCGTCCTGGACGATCCTGCTTGATAAGTATCCGATTTGAGATATTTGAGATATTTTTGAAGAAAGAGAAGGCAGGAGAGAGAAAGAGAAGGAAATAGAAGGGAAAGCTTGATTTCGGAGGCCGCGGAGCGCTTTTCGTCCGACGACGCAGTTGGAAGATTTGTTTGTCTCGCAGTAAGGACTCCTAATCCTATTTTTGATTTCGAAGATTTCGAGTTTTGATAATTCTGTGCCCAGTTTTGTGTTTCCGTTACCGAAAAATGCGCATAATTTTGTATTGACGAAAGTTTTACCGCACAACTTTTGATATGTTTCTGATATGATATTTCTGCACGATTTGAGTATTTTCTGTAAAGTTTCTACCGGTTATTTTGAGTTCTGTGCGACTTTTATCGAATAGAAAATTATCTGGTTGTTGAAAAATGTTGCTTCAGTACGATAAAAGTCTTATATTGTTATTTTCCATGTCTGTGGTAATTTGGTAAATTTCTGAATTTGTGATTTCTATGTACATTCCGTGTACTGTCGTTATGCCGCCGATTTCTTGTACGACTTCTGATTTTCTGAATTGATGATTTGAATGATTGAATATGCATACAAATGTGAAAATATGATTGAATTTATTACTGTTATACTACTGAAAGACAAGTGAAGACTGGTTGAACCGTTGGTTGGAGATTGACTTGACCTGTACAAGATGGTGGGCCGACGGGCTTTCTTTTAAAAATGGTTTGGTGTTATCCTCTATTGATCATTGATATAACGATTGGGAGTCATAAAGAGATTATTATGCCGACGGGCGGCCGACGGGCGGCCGACGGGCAAAGAGTGACGACTCTTATTGAGCCAACGGATATATGAATATATGGATATTTCTAAAACAGCAGAATGGATATACAACGATACATCGACTTGAAAAACGTCTTAATAGCCAGTGATTGTACTTGTTCAGTAAGACTATTGTATTGAATTGCATGTGTACGGTATTGACCTATTGATCTCATTATGGTTTCATGGATTTATTGATATCGACGGATTTGTATTGAAATTTATTTATTGATGGATTTACGGATTTACTGTTACTGTACGATTTCATTGATATTCGCATTATGTCACCAAGCATTGATACTGATACTGATATGGATATCGATATTGCATTGACTTATTGTTACTATGGACATGGATACTATTGATTCATTGATACTATCGCTTCATTGATACACCGTATTGAACTGCTGCATGTGATTCATTGATCAATATGGAATAGGTTTTACTGTATTGATTTGATTTCAACCGTTCTTGTGATGTATTGGTTTGATTGTTTTATATGATTTCATACCGATTGATATTATTGACCAGAGGTAATTGATTTGATTGATTATATTGATATGATATTGATTTAACGGTTATTATCAAGACGATGATTTTCCTCCATTGATTTGATTGGATTCTTACGAGATTTATCGTATGTACTGATTCATGGAGCTTTATGGACTTCTTCCTACTGTTTATCGATTCATGGAGCTTTATGGACTTCTTCCTACTGTTTATCGATTCTTTTACCGATGATTGTGGATTGTATCGATCATGCATTGATTACTGATTTTTCGTATCTGCTGCATAGATTCACTGATAATGTGCAACTGATTGTTATGGATTTGATGGACTGACATGCATATTGTTTCAGTACCGTACTTTGATTTCAGTTATAGGCTTTGGTGACCTGCTGGGCTTTTTGAAGCTCATTATATGTGGTTAATAATTTCAGGTCAGAGCAAGGGAGCAAGAAGTGATGGTTGATCAAGACTGTCGACGAATCCTTTCACTATGGATGCCTGGGACGTCACAATTGGTATCAGAGCAAGTGTAGTGAAAGGATTTGATTGATAGTTTAGAAGAATGGATAGTTTCAAGTGCATCATTTACATAGTAAATTACATATGATTGAATGAACTGTATGACCGCATGATTTCCGACAAGTTTAAATTTCGATTCTGATTTGATTTGATTTTGATTTGAGTTTTGATTGGACGGATTTGTTTTATATCGATTTTGCATTCGATCCCTTAAGGGAAATATCGGGACGACATTTTTCTTAAGGTGGGTAGATTGTAAAACCCCTCTGAAGCTGTTTTTTTTTAGTGTTATTAGTCCGGACGAACTGACTTTAGTCCTGGACGAACTGAAGAAAATTGTGAAGAATCTGTCAATTTCGTCTGGACGAACCTGTAAGGGTCGGGACGAATCGTCGGGACGAACCGAACAGAGAGCATCATCCAGAGACGAAATAAATTGGAATTAATTTTTGTCTGTACAATCCATGTCCAGAGGAGTTCGTCCCGGGACGATCTGGGCATCGTCCTGGACGATCCTGCTTGATAAGTATCCGATTTGAGATATTTTGAGATATTTTTGAAGAAAGAGAAGGGAAAGCTTGATTTCGGAGGCCGCGGAGCGCTTTTCGTCC